GCTGAGAGGCAACAACCAAACTAAACAGGCACGCGCAGCCATAACTATCGAGTTGTTGGCGAGAACGCAGAAACGTCTTGCAGTCAAGCGATGCCACCCAACAGTACCTTCGGATAGGCATGCGAAGAGACAGTGAAACCCTGTCGGATCCCGAGCACTTGCCAAATCTAACATCTAACAAGTGCCTTAAACATGCAGGACCAGCCAGCAATAGTTACTAAAGGTACAGCAGCTTGTCTCCAAGTGCACAACTCTAAGCTTAGCATGGACGCCATACTGAAGACGCAGATCTAGGTGTTGACCAAGATTTCTAGAGCTACCTCGCCCCCAACGCACCCCCTCCTGAACCAAAATAATGTCGCACAAGTTAGTTGCTTGCCAGACATGCGCACCTTCCACCCAGCTCAACATCCACCCAGCAGAAGACCAATGTCCACGCATACGCGTGCACCCGCAACAATGTCTACAGACTTGTTGGCAGCCATCGACCAGCTGGTGAAACCAAACAACCGACACCGGCGCATCATCCATAGAGGGTCATCAAAACTGCTGCAGGAAGCAGGGCTCCTCGATAGACCAAAACTAGGTCCCACTATCCCGTGCGCTGTCCCAAACAATGAAGCGATCATTCAGGCTCATGGCTCCCTACTGCTGCTCTTTCCGCTGCACGTCCTTCTGAAGCACTTTGCGACACTAGTGTGCTTTGCACTTCCCTTCGCAGGTAGAATTAGTTGGGAATAGGGACATCAGTTCGGTGTTTTGTCAAAAGCCGCTCCCCTATCACTGGCTGCAGGGGAGCATTCTATCCTCCCGCAGCGAGCGGTACAAAAGTCCTTTTGCCGTCTCGTGATAAGCCTACAACTGTTACGCGAACTGCCAAACCCCAACATGCCTCTGCGGTGCCAAAAACGGCACACTGCACTGATCAAACAGCTGCATCCAAACCAACACACCCCGTTTCACCCTCTACGCAGCTGCGCACAATTTCGTTTTGTGAACTAACCGACCGCACGTGACTGCAACACGCTTGCGCCCTGTCGCACCACACTGCAGAAAGCAGTGACTGGTCCAAGAAAACAGCTAAGATGAGACGCAATCCAGCTCCGAACTCCCTTCAGATCACCTAGCTTGAACGCCATGTGCGTGCGGCATCTGCCCAATTGATCCGTGATCAGGTCAACGCTACAGCAAAAACAAGGCACCCCTTGCTGTGGAGGACCGCAAAATAGCTCCATTATCAATGATCGCCGGTCAAGCTGTGCTGCGTACCACAAGGGGGAACTAAGCCACTAACACACCGACAACTGGGTACGCCAGGATGCACAGCAGGTTGTGCAGCGCCTTTACGAGTTGCGCCTGCAATCCCATTTCTGTGTTAATGCCCANAGGATGCACAGCAGGTTGTGCAGCGCCTTTACGAGTTGCGCCTGCAATCCCATTTCTGTGTTAATGCCCATCTGGAACAGCTACTGAACGCCGGGCTTCTCGGAATTCGTCGAATCAGCTGACGCAAAAAAGGCCCCATAATGGCTGACCGCGAATAACGCAGATGTCTTCCTTACGGGGAAACCGGTAGCTCACACCATAAAAGGGCCAACGCAGGGTGATACCGAGATATGTTACTCCCCCCTGGAGAGCACAGCCACGCACGAGCCCGCTGCGCATTTGGGCTAGAACGCCACCCAAGAGAATCGAGCTCACGAATTTTCCCGTCATCGCAGCTCGCTGTCATAGGGAATAGTTCGCTCTCTTCCAACATGTCAATCACATAATCACCCGCCAGCATACATTAACTGTGCTCGCGTCTAGACTTCCCCGCGGTCTAGGTCTTGTATGGCATGCACCAATGCGCAGCTTCTACTACCCAAAGCTTACAGGGCATGGGTCTGGACCTCCTTCTGCAAGCCTTCGCCGATATATGCTCCAATCTCCGTTGGCCTGGATTGCCGTGAAGCACCGGAGGACCAAAAACACCACAGCAACTGCGGTGGCCAGGAAGGTAAGCACTAAGAGAGGCGTTCCCCTGCGTCCCGATTTGGAAGGCAGCTCCGCTTGTGAGAAGCCGACATCAGTGCTGAGGACAGGAGCAGCTGGTACTTCAACATCAGCTGCCTCTGCGAGAAGTGCCACTGAGGCGGCGAAAAGTGGAACGAACATCTGCATTTTGTAGGTAAAATTGGCGTATTATCGCGTTTGGTTTAAACTGGCAGAATTTCGTATAGGGTGCAAAACAGCACTCGAATAGTAACATGAACACAAATGTNCCAATAAGCGTCTTCTTCTGTAAATGAGAAATCAATGCATTTTTTCCACTATTCGAGAATATACTTGGCCTATGCCATGAAACTGTATGGCAAATATGCTGGGTTCCCTCGTGTGCGACTGCCTGCCAGTGGAGCGGTGGGACGGCAATCGAACTGTACTGTGCGCCTGTACGTGGTCAGTCGGTCTTCTACAAGACGTGGTTCCTACAAACAGGGAAGTGCACCATTTATTTTAAAAAACGTGAAACGAACTTGCCCGTCTTCCAAAGTGAAATAGCTGAAATGTCAATTCGTACGGGGAGTCTTCGTTCCAAGTGGAGGACCGTTGTATCGAGAGTCCTCGATCCTACCCGGGGGCAATCCAAGACTCCAAATGAGTGAAAATACATTGTATAGTAATTTCTAAAAGCATCTGACGTCCTTTCCAGTCACCAGGCGTCCTGCGACAGGCGGCCCAAGGACCTGAGCCGCCGGTCGCAGGCCGCCTGGCACCCCGTTTCAGTGCTCGTCTCCGCCTTCTCAGAGGACCCGGGGAATTCGGAGAGAAGGCGCCATGAAACGGGCTGCACTGCAGCCTGCTGTAACGCATGCTGCAGCGAAACTGCGCAAACATGGACGATCGATTCCATATTGCTGCATTCACTGGCATTGTAGCCAGTTGCGCTTACTTGGCATTCATTAGACAGCCTGCACACAAGTAAGAATACGCAGCCCAGCTTCACAGACAAGGGCACAATCGTCGCGAGCTGCAAAGGAGTAAAAACGCCTGACCTCCCGTTTCAGTATCCAGACATCCTGGACGTCTGTGGGCCCTTGATAAACTCCCTACAGGAGTCTCGCAGACTCCTGTAGGGAGTTTATCAAGGGCTCGGCCACATTATAACGCCAGAATCCGCGGTCTTATAGCTTCTTTGCAGCTCGCCAATATCCAAGAATAGTGTGGTTAGCTGCAAATAAGCTAAAGGCTNGTCTTATAGCTTCTTTGCAGCTCGCCAATATCCAAGAATAGTGTGGTTAGCTGCAAATAAGCTAAAGGCTTCAGGCAAGAGTACCGCTGAAAGCCGCCGGTCACCACTTTCCTTTACATTCAGGCGCCCTCAACGCCGCGGGTGAAGAGCCTTATTGGCGGCCTGACTTCAGTTGCCGTGGACCCCCAGCAACTAATGATGCAAGACAGCGTTACATGCATGCGCAACCAAGCCTTCTCTGCTGTATGCATTATCTCAAGTTGTTGAGCACTTTTTTACTCGCGTACATTCTGCCTACTAAGGCCGAGCGTATGTATGTTCCGGCTCTAATATCAGGCAGACCTTGCTACGAGAGGGGCAGCGAGCACGTCTAAATCTTCCCCGGATCTGGTTCGACTCCCGCCGCAGTGTCACGAAGACCCAAGAAACTACTTAATTTGCATGAAAGTCGTCGCATTTGTGCTTCTACTTCCCAATGCTTCTCGCGTAGCAGCTGCAGAGCATGCCACAGGTGCTGCATCCGNGCATTTGTGCTTCTACTTCCCAATGCTTCTCGCGTAGCAGCTGCAGAGCATGCCACAGGTGCTGCATCCGCTCCTGCAGATTCCTGCGGAACACAAGCTCCTTATCCATGTAGATGAGTGCCTGTGTCTCATTGATTGGCCCAAAGAAATTGTGGTTAACCTGTTGCTGCAGTTCGGCAGGTTTGTTCACGAGCCCTAATGGCATACGAGCAGGAGCCTTAAACCTACGTGTGAGAAACTCCCCTACCCATTGCCAAGTCCCCCCCCTCCATTTGCTTAGCTGTTTTCATGCCGCAAACGACCCAGTTATGGACCCCATGCGACTGGACGTGTGAAGACTAGTGAATGCATGTCTCTAGGTATGTGACCTTGATTATTGCAAAAGAAGCAGATACGGCGCAACTGGCCCTAATGCTACTGCATACAGCAAAGCGGGCTTGTATCTGCCTGCTTGTTGGGTTATGTTTGGGTGCTAATTGCCGCATGGTTTATCGCAGCTCATGCCGGTCCGCCTCATCTTGCACGAGCCCCAGGAATTTCGGCAGCTGCTCCCAGGACGCCTGGAGACTGGAGTTGAGCACTTGCTTGGCCCTTAGTAGGCAGCCTGCACGCAGGTAGAAGGTCATGTGCCAACTCCGCACAGCCGATGCTACCCTGGCCGTTGGGCCGCCGAGCAAAAGCCCCCTGGGGACTGGAGGCATTGTGAGCTGCTCTTGGAAAACCGTATTTTCAGTGTCTTGGCTCACCTGCAGCTCACGATTCTCCTCGAATACGGTCGAGGATACACGTTACCTGTTAAATTATCAGACAGACCATGCTACACTGCGGCTGCTGTTGCTGCTGTTGCTGAGGTAACAGGGCAGTATCTGCTGCCGCTGCCCGTTGCTGCGGCAGCAGCTGCCGCTACTGTCTGTGCACTGACTCCTTTCTGCTGAGAGACACGCTCCTTTAGGTGCCTCAGCAGCAGTAGCGGGAACATAGACTGGAAGAGCAGCCGGAGCAGCAGGCGCAGCAGCAGCCTCGAGTTGATCGAAGAGAGTGAGAAAATAAACAAGCAGCGACACAAAGACGACAGATGAGTTCGTGCTGCATCCAGCACAAGTGGGAGTTTCTGCTGTTGTTGCTGCTGCTGCCGTGCAGCCGCAGCCGACTCCACTCGAAGATCCAGCGAGGCGGCAGCAGCAGCAACAGCAGCGACAGCCGCAGAAGCAACAACAGCAATGAATAGGCTTTTGGGGCTCCTATTAAATTCGTTTATATTTTTTCTTACCTTCTCCACACGACTCCTGTCCTGCAGCGTGGGGGCCTGCAGTTGAGGCATGTCGAGCAGCAGCAGCAGCCGCTGCAAGAACGGCAAAAGCGGCAAGAACATTGCCACAGGAGCAGATTCAAAAACGCTGCAACAGCAATATCAAACAGAAACTCAAGCAAATTTACAGCAGCAACTCAAGTTTGGCCCCTTCGTAGCCTACAGGCCACCGCTACAGTTGAGGCCCGACGCCGCTGCTGCTGTTGCTGCTGCTGCTATTCTGTCATTATAGCTGCTAGAAAGGTTGCTGCTGCAGCTGCTATGACCTGCTGGAGCAGCAACAGAAGCAGGAGCAACTGAAAAGGCCAATGGGGCCCCCAGGGGCCCCCAGCAACAAGCTCGCCGCAAACGAGTTGTTGGGGGCCCCACAAGAGGTGGCTAAGGGCATCCCATTAGCTGCAGCAGGAGCAGCAGAATCACTAGCAACAGCAACAGAAGCAACAGCAGGAACGACGAGCGCAACGGCAGCCGCCGCAGCAACAGCAGCAACAACAGCACAAGCGGCGAAGCAGTTCACAGACAAGCAAGCACATGCCCCTACAAAGGCTGCTGAGCTTTTGCATCCGAAGGCGCAGCAGCAGCAGCAGCAGNGCAGCAGCAGCAGCAGCAGAATGAGCAGCACTTGCACCAGCAGGAACAGCAGAACGAGCTGCCCGAGCTGCATCCGCATGCAAGTCTCCAGCAGCACCACCAGCAGCGAAAGAGGAGCCGCCAGAAACAGCCAAGGCAACAGCGTTCCGTGCTGCAGCAGCTGCTGCAACAGCTAGATGATGCCGGGGAGGCCCACACAAGCGATGAGAGCAGCAGCAGGGTGTCGAAACAACAGCAGCAACTGCAGCAACAGCAGCAAATCGCAAAGAGGAAGGCGCTCCTACGGGCAGCAGCAACTGCGGCTTCTGAGACAGGGCTGGAGTGTCTGTACACCTGGAAGCCCTTTCATGTTGCTGCAGATAAGTCTCCTGCTGTTGCTGCTGCTTGCTCCTGCTGCAACGCCTACACCCGCCGCCGCCTGAGGCGCCCGTACTTGCAGCAGCAAGAAGGTGCAACAGCAGCAGCAGCAGCAGCAGCAGCACATAAACACGTAGCTGCAACAGTTCCTGCAGATGACGTGTGTGGTGCCGCAACTGCAACAACAGGGACAGAGGCAGCATCAACGGCAGTATATTCGCCGGGTCTTCCAGTAGCAAATTGTCCGGAAGCGGGACCTGCTGCAGAAGCAGCAGCAGCATCAGCAGGAGCGGGAGCAGCAGCAGCAGCAGCACCATCAACAGCAGGTTCTGAGCAGGACAATTGCAGCTGCCAGCATTACTTTGGTGCCATATTGGAAGCTCGAAGCTCCAATACTCTCCGCTTGTCTCTCGTTGCTGCTGAGCCGCGTCCATGTTCGGTTGCTGCCGCTGTTGCAGCAGCACCACCACCACCACCAACGGCAACCCCAGTAGTAGAAGCAGCACACGAGAGCAGCAGCACAGTGCCAACGAATGCCAGCCTTAAATCTCCTCCTCCAGCAGCCGCAACTGCCGCTGCGACTGCAACTCCTCTTGCTACCTCTGCTGCTGGTGCTCCTGCTGCTGCTCCAGCAGCAGCAGCGGTTGCTGCTCCGCGAATTGCTGCGGAATGTCTACTGCGTGCGGACGCGGCATTGAGGTGTTTGGGTGAAGATTTACTGCAGATATTAACGGCCAGACGGCAACTGCTGCCACTGTGCCTGCGGGCTGTTGTGCTTCGCGCTGTACCTCCAGCTACTCCTGCTGCTACTGCTGCTGATCCTTCTGCTCCTGCTGCTGCTGATGCTACTGCTTCTGGTGACTCTGCTGAAGCGGCTGAGCCAGCACAGGATGCAGCAAAAGCAGCAACGGGGAGCAAGCGAAGGTCCTCAGTGCGTCGAAAAAGGGATGCTGCAGCTGCTGAAGATTATCTCGAGGGGCTTATACCCATCAACAGCAACGCCAGCAGCAGCAGCAGTGGCAGTAGCAGCAGTAGGAAGTGGGTGTGGGTAGTTGAAGTTCACCTTTGTCTCATTACGAAATCCTGCGGCTCTCCTTGCTATGTGCCGCCGCTCGTCTCAGAATGCCGAGCCAAAGCTGCACAATGGTCTGCTGCTGGCTGTTGCTGCTGCCACTACTGCTGCTGTCAATGCTGCTGCTATTGCTGCTGCTGCTGCTTCCACTGCTGCAGATATCGTTGCTGCTGCCGCTGTCGCTGCCGCAGACGCTGCTGCAGTTGCGCTGCTGCAGTTGTTCTTGCTGCCACGTTCGCTGTCGGGGCCACTGCTGTTTCTGCCGCTGGCCTCACAGACGCGGTTGCTGCCACTTGCGTTTCTTCTAGTACTGCTGCACGTTTTGTGCTGCTGATGCTCCTGTAGCTGTTGCTGCTGTAACGGGGGATGTTGCTGCTGTTATTGCTGCGTCTGGTTATTGCGACTAGAGATGGTTAGGGCACAGCGTCTGTTGTTGCTGTTGCTGCTGCTGCTTCAGGCTATTCGGGCGGATGTTAGGCCAGGCGTCGCTGCTGCCAGCGGCAGCAACTGTAGCAGCAGCAGAAGAAGAAGAAGACGGGGCGGCGATTCCGCGGCATTTCTTCGTGAGCCCGTCCTTTATATACAGCCTCGTGTCGCAAAGGCGCGCCCTGCACGCGCAGCAGCAGCAGCACCCCAGCAGCAGCAGCAAGCCGAGTACGAGTTTCGCTGGTGTGGAACTGCTGTCGCCGCTGGGACTGCGGTGTCAGCTGAGGCCCTATCAGCAGCGAGCTGTCCTCTTTGCCCTATTCAGAGAGTGGCGGGCCTTCCTTACCACCAGCAGCAGCAACAACAACAACAACAGCAGCAGCAACAGTAGCAGCAGGAACATGGCAAACGAATATGACTTCGAAGACCTGGGGCTGCAGCAACAGCAGCGGATGCGCACGCTGCAGAAACAGCAGCAGATGAAGCAACAGGTAAACTTGATGTGGCACAAGGTACTGCTGCCTTCTGCTGCAGCTGTGTGGGTCAATCACACCACTGGTCAAGTTGCTCTTTGTTCGCAAACAGCAGGAGCAGCAGCACCAGCAAATGCCGTTCCAGCAACAGAAGCTGCAACAGCAGCAGCAGTTGCTGCTTCAGCACCAGCCACAGCAGCAGCGCCAGCAGTCGCATTATTCCCACCACAATCCGCAGCAGCTGCAGCAGCAGCAGCAGAAAGTGAGGCGTGTGTCGGGTTCGACGTGCCTGGCGGTCTGCTGTGTGACTCGATGGGCCTGGGGAAGAGTGTGGAGGTAATAGCCCTCATCCTGGCCAATCCACGACCACACTCCGCTGCCGCTGCAGCATCAGCAGCAACAGCAGCAACAACAGCAACAGCAGCAACGGCACCAACAGCACCAGCAGCAGAAAAGGGAGCGATTTATTGTTGGGGAGACGAGATGCCTCCCGACAGTCTTATCTGCTGCATCTGCGCCGCTGACTCCTTAGGGCCCATGTGCCTCAATGGTGGACGCCGGTGGGCCCCGCGACCTGCTGGTCGAGCCATTCGCAAGCAGCAGCAGGAGAAACAACCACAGCGACTACAGCAACAGCAGCAGGAGCGAGAATGTTCCCTGCTGTCAGTCGTCCAGTGCTACTGCTGCCTGGCCTTCTCCCACGTCTTCTGTGTTGCACAATATTTGGGCGCTGCTGTTTCGCTGCCATTCATTTGTCCCTTTTGCTGTGCCGAGCAGCAAGATGCTGCCGCTTGCAGCAGTAGCTGCAGCAGCAGCAGCTGCTCCTCCAAAGCCACCAGCAGCGTCAGCACCAGCAGCAGCGCTTCCACTGCCAGCAGCAGCAGCACCGCCGCCACCGCCACTGCCGGCAGCAGCAGCAGCAGCAAGTTGACGCGGTCTCGGGGGACGCTGCTTGTGTGCCCTGCAGCAATCGTAGATCAGTGGAAACGTGAAGTGTCTGTTCACTCGGGTCCGCCCCTCAAGGTTGCAGTATATCCGGGCCTCAAGGCCGCCAGGGCTTCCCTTGCAACCACCGTGAGAAACCCTATACGCTAAACCCCAAACCCTAGACACTAAACGCTAAATCCTCAACCCCACCGACATTCAGCTGGTGGCACCACTCTCTGTACTACTGGCTCGCTTATTGCAGCACGAAGAGTGTTAAGGGTTTGAGGTGGTTCAGGGTTCAGGGTTTAGGCCGTAGGATTTGGAGTCTGGGTTTTTCAGGTGGCAACACTTGCTCGCGCTGAAGAGAAGGCATTTACGCTATCTCGGGGCCCCACGTCGTCTGGCCGGCGTACCAGCCGAAGGCCTGCAGCGTCAGCACGAGCAGCAGCAGCAGCAGCGTCCGCAGTGCCAGCAGGTGAGGGGGCTTCCGTAGAAGGGCCCCGTAGCCTGTCAGTCCCCCCTGCTGCTGTGACAGCCGCACTGGGGGCTCCCCCAGATGGCCCCCACGTGCTGCTGCCGCAGCTACTGGACTATGACATCGTGATCGTGCCCTTTGAGGCGCTGCAGCAGGAGGTTTGGTTCGCTCCTCCTTTCAGCCTCAGCAGCAGCGCCAGCAACGGCAGCAGCAGCAACAACAACAGTCGTATGGCCCTACGAGGCACGAAACGCTATCGCAAGCTCTTCTCCCCCATATTAGGCATTCTCTGGTGGCGCATCGTCATCGACGAGGCGCAGCTGGCAGGCGGTGAGGATTTAGGATTTAGGGCTTAGGCTTCAGGATTCAGGGTTGAAGGTTTAGCGTCTGACATCTAGGGTATAGGGCTTAAGATTCAAGGCCCAGATTAGATACACCCACCCCGCAAGCCGACGCAGGGGCATTTAGGCGGTGGCTGCTGTTGCGTTATATTCTGGTGCTGCTGTACAATCTCTTCTACGGCTGGATCTGTGTATCATTGCTTACTGCTGCTGCAGCTTCACCGCTCTTCGTGCTGATGCTGCTGCTTGTGCTACTGTCGTTTTCGCAGCTGCCTGCCTGCTCGTGCTGCTACTGTTGCTTGTGCTGGTGCCTTTGCTACTGCTGCTGCTTGCATTGCCGCTGCTGCTGCTGCCGCTGCAGGTTTCAGCGGCGCGGCACGTTTATGCCATTCTATTGAGGCTGTCCATCGATGGTGCGTCTCGGGCACTCCGCTGTTAGACGAATTGTCTGGAGAGGGGCCCCTGGGGCCCCTCGGGCCCCACAGGGGGACCCCCCAAGCTCCTCGGGGTTCTCTGCTGCCACGCGAACTCGCGGGGCTCCTTGCAGCGCTGCGCCTCTCGACGGACTGCCTCCATCACGGGTCGCCTGCCTTGCTGCAGTGAGCCAACGTTTAAGGTTTTACGGTTTAAGGTTTAGTGTCTAGGATGTAGGGCTTGGCGTGCTGCTCTGGTGCTTGGGCGCGCTCTTCTAGTCACCGCTACAGCCCGTGTGAGGGCTGGAATTGACGGGTTTAGTGTTTAGGGCAAGCATTCAGCTTCATAGTATAGGGTTTATGGCCTAGAGCTCACGGTTTAGAACTTAGAGTTTAGAGTTGGCTTGTTGTGCTGTGGTATTTTCGGCTTAGGCGGGCGTTTCAGGGCCTTTCGCTGCCTCTTCCGCAGAGCACCTTAGAGGACGACCACTCCAGCAGCAGCAGCAGCAGCCCCAGCAGCAGCATTTCAGAAGCGCGTGTAGGGCCCAGATGGGGCCTAACGGGCTTCGCTCTAAACGCTGCTGTCGATTTGTTGACACCGTTAATGTGGAGGACAGAAATGAACGGTGAGGGGTTTGTGTTTAGGCCTTGCGAATCAGGGCGTATGGCTTTCAGTTTAGGGTTTAGTCTTTAGGTTCGGGCGGTTAGGGTTAAAAATGTCTGGCAGCTGCGTGTGAAGAGTGCAGAACGTATTATGGTTGACGGCTTAGGGTTTAGGGTTTGTGTGCAGAGGTGTCAGAGGAGCTTGGCGTGCCTCCCCCTATCGTGCATGACATTTGGGTGGAGTTGGGGCCAGTAGAGCGTTTCTTCTATCAGCGGCAGCAGCGGGCTGTTGCGCAGCGCGTGCTTCGGCTGTGCAGCAGGCAGCAGCAGCAGCAGCAGCAGCAGGAGGGAGGGAGACGGGGTGGTGCTCGCGGTCGCAACAAAGCAGAAGCAATAGTAGTAGAAGCAGCAGCAGCTGCTGCTGCTGCTGATGAGAAGGCCCGGGTTGCGGCTGCACTGTCTTCGCAGATGGCTGCGATGCTGCTGGTGCTGCGGCAGGCAGCAAACCATCCTCAGCTGGGGGCGTTGGGCCTCAGCAGCCGCCGAAGCAATAGCAACAGCAGCAGCAACAACACCAATGCTGCGGGCACACGAAAGACAGACGGATTAGAGGGTGTCGGCCGATATATGTCAATGGATGAAGTCCTCTGCCGTCTCCTAGGAGATGCCCGAGTAAACCCTAGACCTAAACCCTAAGACCCTAACCCTATCTAGATCCCTTCCCTAAACCCTAAACCGGAAAACCCTGAACAATACCTAGGTCCCCATACCTGAGCCCTCTCGCCCAAGCCATAAAACCTCAGGTCCTAGAAGTGCTAGCACCCTGTAGAATCTTCACCCTTGCGTACTGCTAGCTAAAGCAGAATTAAACACCGGAGGGTTTGGAACTAACGGCTTAGGGTTTAGGGTTTAGGGTTTGAGCGTAGGTGGAGCTGGAAGAGGCGCTGCGGGCCTACTGCGCTGAGATTAACGGCATTGCTGGCCTCTCCCTGCTGCAGGGAAGACCTGCGCGCGCTGCTCTTCTCTATCTGTAAGCTGAATCAGGGTTTAGAGTTTAGGGTTTAGGGTTTGTCGGGCTTGGGGGTTGACTTTGGAAGCCCTTTCTTGCTCTTAGGCGTCTCGAGTAGCGCGGGTCCGTGCGGATGCTATATTATCAGAAACGTTGCCCAACACTCCGTTGTTTAGGGTTTAGGGTTTAGGGTTTAGGGTTGAGGGTTTGTGGGGTTTAGGCATGTGTTGGAGCTGTCGCGGCGTTCGCTGGGGGGAGCCGAGTTGAGGGGGGCCCTTGCGCATTATCTGGGGGCCCCTGAGGAGACTGTGGGGCCCCTCATTTTGGCGCCAAGTCTTCTGCAGCCGTTGATAGTAGCGGGGCCCCACATTGACAAACTGCAGCAAATCCATGCGGCTTTCAACCTCCACCAAACCCTCTCTGGGGGGCCCCCAAAGCCCTCCAGCAGCAGCAGCAGGAGCGTAAACAGCGGCGATCAGGAAGGAGTTGTATTGTTGGAGGTCAGGGGTGCTGCCGCTGCAGCGTCAACACAGCCACCAGCAACACCAGCAGCTGCAGCAACAGCAGCGCCAGCACCAGCAGCAGAGACAAGAGCGGCGAAAGACGGCTTGGAGGCAGTGTCTTCCTCCACGCCGGAGGAAAAACCTGCCTCAGGAGCATCAACGGAGGCAAAAGCAGCAGCAGCGGCAGCATTGCAAACAGAGGCAAAACCTGAAGCGGCAGGAGCCTCTTCGTCTCGAGCCCAGGTCGAATCTGTCTCAGAAGCAGCAGCAGCAGCAACAGCAGCATCATGGGATTTGTTTCAGCGTTTGCGCAGCGAGTACGCTTCTAAGGCTGTGGGGGAGTTGGTGCGGTCGCGTGAGGTCTTCCGCTTGCGCTTTTCTGAGACAGAAAAACAAAGGAATGAGAGGGTTTTGGCGTGTGCCGGGAAGGGGGGGGCAGCAGACAGGGCTCCGGGGGGCCCCTCCAGCAGCAAACATTCCCAGGGTGTAGCAGCAGACAAGAGCGTTCCCGCGCATGGAGAAGGGAGCCCCCTGGAGATGGAGGGGGCCCCCCTGGAAGGGAACAGCCCCCCCCACCCTAAGGACCCTCATTTGAACACTGCTGAGAGAAGCCTTGATGAGGGGCCCCCAACGGCGCTGCACCAGCTGCTGCAGGCAGAGAAATGGAGAAGAAGAATGGGAGGGGGTCGGTGGTTTGTCCCCCTCGCGGGCCTCGAAGAGGAACGCAGTAGAGCCCTCGCTGCCAGGTCCAGCCTCAAACCCTAAACTCTAAACTCTAAACCCTGAAAGCAAGCCCAGCACACAAACCCTGCATCCTTAGTGCAGACCGTAAACCACGAACATAAACCGTGAAATATGAATACAAACCCTGAACCTTATAATGCCCAAACGCTAAACCTCAACTGCATCGTCGTAAGGCTTAGCGCCAAGGTGAATGGTTTGTTTGCGAAAGGTGTCTGTACAGTTGGGCGGCGGGGGGAACGGGGGGGGATTAAGTTAGGGTTTAGGGTCTGTGGTTTTGGCTTTCGGGTTTGGTTGTCTACAGAGTGCGTGAGGAGCTGTTCAACCTGCGCAGCAGCAGCGGCAGCAGCAGCAGGGACGATTGCTGGGGCTCGCCGCTTGGTGGTGGCGGGCTAAGAAGGAAATTCCACTTGGGGGGCGTCTCCAGTTGTAGGGGTCTTGTGGCCGTTCTTGAAGGGGCTCTCGACGAGCTTGACAGCAAAAGAGAAGAGCTCATACGCGTAACAGACCCTAAACCATAAACATCTGAACACAAAACCTGATGCGCCCACAGCACGCAAATCAGCATCATGGGGAGTCACCAAATGCGAATGTAAAGAGGGTTTAGGACTTAGGTCTTATATCTTAGGGTTTAGGATTTAGGGTTTGTGTACAGACGCTGGAATCGCTAGACCACGGGGGGAACCCTTCAGCGCAGCTGCAGGCAGCATTTGGATCGTGTCCTCGCTGCAACGAGTTGTTTCAGGCGGACCTGCTGCAGCTCCAGCAGCAGCAGCAGCGAAACAGAACTGGCAGCCAAGTCAACAACATATACCTGCCGCAGCAGCAGCAACAGCAGCAACAGCAGCAGCAGTTGGGTAGCGCCGCATCGCCGCGCAAGCGCAGAAAGAAGGGACGAGCTGAGGAGAGGCTGCCAGGCAGTCTTTGTTTTCACTGCGTGGCAGCCCAACAAATAACCCAGTAAATTCTAGACCGTAAACCCTATATCATTTTGCCTGCTTCTGCGCAAGCCAGGCCGTAGGCGTAGATTGGCTTGAATGCCGTGCTAAGCGTTCAGGGTTTAGGGTTTGCGGTTTAGGGTTTAGGGTTTGTTGCTGCAGGATGCAGTACTTCCTCTACAACCGCGTTTCGAAGAACCTCGACGCTGTCACGGGAGACCCCTCCAACCATAACATTGTAAGTTACATACGATGTAGGGTTTAGCGTTTGTGGTTATGGGGTTTGGGGTTTAGGGTTTGGGGTTTAGGGCTCAGGGTCTAGGGTGTACGTTGCTTGAAGACGCAGGGAGGCCTCTAGATGTTTGTCCTGCGTCGGATGTCTGGCCTCTTCAGAGTTTGGAGTTAAAGTTTAGGGTTTACGATTTGGAGCTTAGCGTTGGGGGGTTTAGGGTTTAGGGTTTATTGTGTGCGTGTCTGTGTGCGTGTGTGTGTGTGTTTGTTTGTTTGTTTGTGCAGGAGGGCTACCACCACTTTGGGGACAGCGAGTTGCTGCGGTGTTTGCAGCTGCTTTGCAGCTTCACGCGGAGAGACAATGGCGGGGGAGGGGTTCTTTGGGGTCATTTGGCAGCAGCAGCAGAAATCCATCTTAAGGAGTTTGAATGCCTGAAGAGAGTCCGCACCAAATGCACATAAAACCCTAAACCCTATACCCATAAGATTTAGGGTTTTTCAAGCTCGACGGTTTACGCTTGAGGTTCTGTACTGTTTAGAGTTTAGGCCTTGGGGCTCAGGGCCTAGGCTGTAGGGTTTCGGCTCAGATTTTTAATTTTTAGGATTTAGGGTTTAGGGTTTGTGTTTCCGTTGCAGGAGTTGTCTGCTGCTGGAGCGTACCTGCTAGGCAGTCGAGGGGTTTTATCGGCCTTCGATGAACTCCGTATGTCTGTGGCGCGCTTCTTCTTAAAGACAACGAACGACTCTTCCTGCATTCCTGTTGCTCTTGATGCTGCTCCCCCTGCTGATGCTATTGCTGCTGCTGCTGATTCACCTGCAGCTGCTCCTGCAGCGCCAGCAGCAACAGCGCCTGTAGCAGTGGAAGCAGAAACAGCAGCAGCGGCATCCCAGCCAGAAATGCCGGCTGCAGCTGCAACTGTAGCAGCACCGATACAACCAGAAGCAGCAGCGGCAGCAGCAGCAGCAGCAGCCGCAACCGCAGCGTCATGGTCAGCAGAAGCGTCGTTGCGGCAGGAGCTGCTGCAGCAGCGGGGCGGGNGCAGCCGCAACCGCAGCGTCATGGTCAGCAGAAGCGTCGTTGCGGCAGGAGCTGCTGCAGCAGCGGTGCGGGTTGTGTCCCCTGGAGATGCCCGTTGTGTCTGCCGAGCTGTTGGCTGCTCTGCAGTTTTCGAGAGACCGCATTGCTGTTTGCTTTACTCGTCATCAGTACTTGAAGGGATTAAAAGACAAACAAGACAGCAAAATCAAGCATCATGCCGCTGCTGCTTCTGCTGCTCTTGCTGATCCTGCTGCTGCTGCTGTTGCTGACGGGGCATCTGGGGCAGCCGGGGGCGGTGCTGCTGCAGCTTCTGCTCCTGAGGCATCACCAGCAGCTCCGAACGCGGGATTGGGCAGTAGGGCCCCTGAAGCAATCGAGAGGGCCTCAAGAGCTGCTGCTGCTGCGCTGTACAGGCAGCAGCAGCAGCAGCAGCACGAACAAGCCCAATGCGAGCAGCGCCAGGACCCGGGCGACGGGCAGCAGCAGAATCCGCAAGCTGCCGTCAAGTCGGAGGGCGAAAAGCAGCAGCAACAAGCGGAGCTGCAGCAGCAACAACAACCGCAACACCAACAAATGCAACAACAAAAACAACAGCAGCAGCAAGACGAAGAGGAGCCCCAACGGTGCCCCATTTGTCTGCAAGGGATACAAGCGGGGGACTGCGTCGTGGTGCTGCCTTGTGGGCATTCGATTTGTTTCTCGTGTTTGCAGAAGCTGCAGCAGAAGCAGCAAAAACAGCAGAAGCAGCAACAGCAGCAGCAGCGGCAGCAGCAGCAGAAGGGGCCTCTGCTCAGGTGTGCTATATGCCGCCATGGGTTCAGCCCCTCGGGTGCAGCACTGGTTACGTCTGCTGCGGCTGCTGCTTCGGAATCTGCGCCAACGGACATGCAGCAGCAGAAGCAACAGCAGCAGCAGCAGCAGCAGCAGCCAGCACCCTCCGATGACTCCCGCACCCCTTCGTCCGAGCGCGAGATGAGGAATGCCGAGGTGAAGCTCTTTTCGCTTTTTAAAGTTTCACCCCTTCAGTATATTCTGCTGCAACATATCTTGATTGTATAGTATGCACAAATACAGATGAATATATATATATATATATATATATATATATATA